GGTGCGCGGGGCCGCTCAGCACTGCGCCCCGGGAGCCCGGCCCCGAGGCCTTCCCCGGACCCTGAACTCCTCCCTCGCGTCCTCACACCCGGCTGGACTTGCCGGGCAGAACCGGGCGCTCAAAGCTTGGCAGCAGGTCAGCTCCACGTTCTCGGGTGAAAGAGGACAGCTGACCCCGTTGTGGAAGCGCGATCCCCGGATCCCCCCACCTTGGTCTCTGGGGCGGCATCAGTTTAAAAAATCCAAAGGGAAGCGTTGCTCGAAATGTTATTTCATAGGCAACTCGGCGTTTGTCTGCTTATCTGTAGCTTTTCTTGTAGAGAATTGAGTAAAATGGAGAAGGAGACGGGGAGGGTATGACTGGCTAGCGAATGAAATGTTAATCTCAAATCTTGGAGCGCTGGTTGAGGGAATTACGTTGTCGTCCGGAGCATCAGGTGAAGCCGCCTTCCCCGCTAGAGTCCAAACGGAAGGTACAGAGTCTCGAACTTGTTTCCCACTCTAAGTGAAGACGGAAATTCTTTGGCTTGTTTGATGCCTCCACGGCTTTCCGGGGATTTTACTTCCTGCTCTGGAACATCGCAAGCAATTGCCTGTCTGTTTCCATAACCACCTTCAGTTTTGCTCTTCCGTTTTTTTTTTTTTTTTTTTTTTATAACTTGTAAAAGGTAGAAAGAACTTTGTCAAGTCCCACCCCTTCTATTACACTTTCCCAAGGTTCTCTAGCCCGCGTGTTCCTTTTTCCAGACTCGCAGCTCTTAATTGTGCCATTTCTTTGTAAAATAAGCATGTATTGTTGAGCGGCATCACTTATGTTGTCAACTTTTTTTATATTGTTTAATGTAACTTCCATTTATTCTAATGGCTTTTGGTGGGAAAGAGTCAAGCCAAAGTGCTTTATTTTTTTTGCAATCACAGAATAAAAAAAATATTTTCAAGCTTCTTTTGTTGTAAAAAGAATAATAAAGACTAAATTTCCATCTTCTTTACTCTTAGGGGTTTTTTTACTTAAACACACTTTGTTTAAGTAAAACGAAGGCCCTGCTGAGACAATAATTTTTTTAAATTTTTTCCCAGCTTTACTGACATATGACTGACAAAAATTGTATATATTTCAGGTGTACAGCATATTTTGATATATGTATTGCTTGCAAAGTAATTACCACAGTCAAGCTAATTTACACATCCATCACTTCACATAGTTGTCTTTCTGTGTGTGTCTGTGGAAAGAACCTATGAAGATCTTTCTTAGCAAATTTCAAGTGTACACTACATTATTAACTATAGTCACCATGCTGTATATTAGGTATCCAGAACTATTCATCTTATAGCAAAAGTTTGTACATCCCTCCCTTTCCCCGCCTCCCCCACATCCGGTGACCACAATTCTACTCTGTTTACAAGTGCTTTTATTTTACACTGTACCTTGCATATAGGAAGCTTTCTGGAAGTATTTTGTGCATTGAATGCGGTTTTGTAATATTATTTTAAAAATTCATCTTTAGTGTTGAAATAAAGATGTCCCACTGCCCCATTGACCCCCTCTCTTTGTTATTTTTTTAAATGAGTTTTCTATCGAGAATAGGTTTTATTTTGGGCTTCTGTGTCTCAATTTCTTGTGCTAGTTTACTGATTAATAGAAATCTTAGCAATTGCAGGTAGTTATGATGGTACTGCTGCTGTGCAGCAATAATAATGGTGTTTCCTGTGTAAGGATCTCATTGTCCCACTGTCATTCAGATTTGCCCTTTGATTTTTAGTGATAGTGGGGAGATCATGCTAAGCTGCCCATATTCTCTTGATTAGAAAGTGAGCTCCATGAGGGAAGTGGTCATATTTCTCTTATTTTTTTAGTGTATGTGCTTGCCTGATAACATTATCTAGGACATGACAACAATCAGTGATTACTTGTTTGATGTTGAATAATATATTTTAATGGGGGCAAAAATATGCATGTATGAATCTAGGAAAATAATATAATACTTACTTTGGTGTAGCTTTCAAAGGGCAAGATGAAATGTTTTGTGGACCTGGTTCACAAAATGATATTTAATACCTTTTTTTGCTTTTATTATTTTTTTAGGTGGCTTTTTCTCAAGTATATTTTCGAGTCTGTTTGGAACCCGGGAAATGAGGATTTTAATTTTGGGATTAGATGGAGCAGGAAAAACTACAATTTTGTACAGATTACAGGTTGGAGAGGTCGTTACTACTATTCCTAGTAAGTGTTGGTATGCTATAAGAGTTTTCTGTTTTCCATCTAACATAACTTTATTTTTAATTAATAATTCATATAATAATGTTATTGGTAAGGATTACAAACTAGTATGAGTATATATTATTGATAACACTTTTTTTTTTTTCCATAAACTGAGAAGCAGTTTGGTATAATGTATGGACCCCTGTGCATGGCTGGGTTTTGCTCTTTAGAACTGTTTAAAAAATTTCTTGAGTCCTGGCTGGTGTGGCTCCATTGGTTGGAGTGTTGTCCTGTGCACTGAAAGGTGGCAGGTTTGATTCCTGGTCATACCTGGGTTGTGGGTTGGATCCCCAGTCAGTGTGTTTCAAGAGGCAACCAATGGATGTTTCTGTCTCACGTAGATGTTTCTCTCTCTGCCTCCCCCTCCCTTCCTCTCTCTGAGATCAATTTTTAAAAAATTGCTTGAGTTCAGGCACTTAATCTCATTGAGAGCTAGTATCTTTTATTGATAAAATGAAGACAACAAATATCCACTGGCTTTGAGGGGGAAATAAGCGAAGTGTATAAAATCCTTTGTAGACCTCTTTAAAGAATTGTAAGTGGTATTACCTATGAAGTGGTTCCTCCTCCCCACATTGGTTACTATGTATTTTAATTAATATTAGCTTCTCTTAAGTAATTCTATTGATTTATTGTAAAGATCTGAGTTGAAGAGACTGAATGTTGAATTAATCTGGGACCCAAAAATACCAAGAGAAGAAATAGCTCAACTTTAAATCAGTTATTGATACCTTAGAAACACATTCTCAAGGAGGCCTGTTTGACTAGATAAGAATACTTATCTGTTATTACTTATTACAGTTATATACTTACCTGTTATTTATGCTTTCCTTCATTTGTTGACCTGAATTTACTTAGAGATTAATTCATTTAAACTAAATTTAAATGTTCATAGAGTTTATGCCTTTAAATTATGCCTTTAAAGTTACTCTGTCATTCAAAGTATTTCTATGTTTAGTGTATTTAAATATCCAAATTACAAAAAGAAGGCTAGCTTTTATGGAAGAACTTTTAAAACTCTGTGGCATCTTTTATTTCTTTTGCCACCTTCAATAAATTTCAGTTCACTTGTTTTTTGCTTCTCAAAATTGCCCATCACTGCGTGTCTGTGTCTTGGTCACCTTCCCTGCAGTGCACCCGCCCAGTGGATTGCATTTCAGTGAACACTGATTTACACCACACTCTTGTCCTTTACATGTAAACTATTTCTAATCTTGGTGAAGATAGTGATTACACTCCTACCTAATTCTAAGGGAGACATTATGAACTTACTTTTTAGTGTTTTACTACGGTTTGTTATAGTAATTTTTTAGTTGTAATAGGCATACTTGCCATACGCATATGAATCATTTACCAATATAAACTTAGGTCTAAAATAAAAATTGAGTTACAGCTGTAAGTCAGTTTTACTGTGATTATTTTTAAGCTTGTAAAATTGTAGTAAACTTCGTATATATAACTCCTATTTTTTTTTTTAAACATCCTCTGCACCTTCCCTTAGATTCCTTTCAAAGAATATAGTGGTATGCTGCCTTAGCTGTGTGGTCAGAGCTCCACCTAAGAAAGATGGCAGGGAAAAGGGATGGGACACCTCTCCTTTGGTCATCCAGCTGTGACCTTATTACAAATGAGTGCTTGAGAAAGTCTGCAGAGGGTCTGTGAGATTGCCAGCCTCAGAGGACCCAGCTTCTAATATATAGCCATTGCTGTGTCCTTCCTCACTGAAGTTTAGAATCTTGGCTTTCTTGGTTTTGTTCCCTGTTTATTTGCTACCTACCAAAAAATTCACATTTTTATAATACATCTACAACTGTCTTTTTAAATATAACTTTATGAATGCTTTTTGTTTTTAATCTTCACCCAAGGACATGCTTAGCGAGAGAGAAAGGGAGGGAGGGAGGGAGGGAGTGAAGGAGGGGGAGAGACTGACAGACAGACAGACATCAATGTGAGAAACATCGATCAATTGCCGGGAATCGAACTGGCAACCTCTGTGCACTGGGTGACACTTAACCAACTGAGCCACTTTGGCTGGGCTAAACACTTTTGCGTGTTAATATTGTGTTATGAGAGGAGTTTAACATAATAGGATTTCCACTGAGCTAAAAATTATATACTTGCAGAGGTTACTGGAGATTCTTATATAATCTGAAGGTGGTGCTGATCTTGCTCTGTATGTGTGTGTAGGAGGGCACAGCATACTGTCTTCTTTTTTTTTTTAATGTTTTTATTGATTTCAGAGAGAGGAAGGGAGAGGGAGAGAGAAAGAGAGAGAAGCATCAATGATGAGAGGATCATTGAGTGACTGCCTCCTGCATGCCTGCAACCTGGGCATGTGCCCTGACTGGGACTCGAACTGTGACCTCCAGGTTCATGGGTCGATGCTCAACCATTGAGCCGCCCCGGCCAGGCCTGTCTTGTCTTAAATGGAACACTATCTCCACCAATAATGTAATTCAACATTTGTTGAAGAAACTCAATTAGATTGGATACTTTGAAGGAATGCATTAGTGTCTATATAAACTACTCATTTATCTTCCAGCCATTGGATTTAATGTTGAGACGGTAACATACAAGAACCTTAAATTCCAAGTCTGGGATTTAGGAGGACAGACCAGTATCAGGTATGGTACAAAGACCAGATTATTTTGTGGTATTTAACATTTTTTGGCTCTTGTAAGGGTAACAGCAATAAACCAAAATTACCTTCTTTTATAATTTAAGTGGACGCTACCTAGTTGTGTGTTTTTTAATGATTTTTATTTTTTAAAAATTTATTGGGGCACATAGGTTAATAGATTATATAGGTTTCAAGTGTACATTTCTATGATACATGACCTGTATATTGCATTGTGTGCCCACCACCCAAAGTCATCATCTTGCATCACCATGTATTTGGCCCCCTTTACCCTTTACTACCCACCCCTTCCCTCTGGTATCCAGTGTACTGTTGTCTTTGTCTATGAGTTAGAGTTTTATATCCCACAAATGAGTGAAATCATAAGGTTCTTAGCTTTTCCTGACTGACTTATTTTGCTTAGCATAATATTCTCAAGGTTTATCCATGTTGTCGCAAATGGCAGTATTTCATCTTTTCTTGTGATTGAGTAGCCACCTAGTTTAAAATAGGTAAAACTATCTGTTCTCTCAGTTGAATTAAAATATAAGGAAACCAGTTTTTCAACTATCATTTAAATGAAAAATGTTTTCATGAGAACCTCAAAATTTAATTAGTTTTACAGAAAGTAAAATTTAGTTCTTGTCAGCCCCTTCCTCTGTGAGACAGACTATTTTAGATTTCATAAAAATGCCTTTCAGGCCCTCTACTTAGGGCTAATGTGAACATAGATGCCCTCGGGAACTCAGGTTCCTGTCCAGCATTCTGTGCTTGACGTAGCAACTGTAAATGTTTGGTGACTGTCAGTGGTTGCTCACTATGGTACCATCTTAAAAGATTAGTAGTGCATTCCCCAGATGTCCTGCTTACTTTTGTTTTATTTCTTGAGCCACTTTTGAGTCTGTTTCTAACTTTAGCCATTCTACTTCTTAGTGTCTTTAGTGATCAATTTAATGCCTTTTATATAAAGTTATTAAAATTTTTTTAAGAACCCATTCCTCTTAAAGAGTTCCTAGTTAGAGGTTTATGGTTTATAAGATGTAATGATCAGGTCTGCGTACAACTTTTTTGTCAGTACATTTAATGATTTTATAGGTTATATTCTCTCAGCCTAAAGTCTGAACTCCTTGATTTTCTGTTAATGTTTATTAACATTCTTTCCGCCCTCACATTTGAGGGATATAGTATATATCAGTTAGAAACAATACATCATTATGGCATTGATTCTAACATGGGTGGGACCAGATTGGCATGTAACCACTGGCACCAGCATTGCCAGGTCCTAGCGTATAAATTAACATATCAGCTTCATCTTTTTTCAGATAATAATATATTCTCCCTTTCTGAATTTTCTTTAGGCCATACTGGAGATGTTATTATTCAAACACAGATGCAGTCATTTATGTTGTAGACAGTTGTGACCGAGACCGAATTGGCATTTCCAAGTCAGAGTTAGTTGCCATGTTGGAGGTAAGAAAATCTTATTAAAATGTGGGGAAATCATTTACATTTTGTTTGCTGTTTCCATTGTTTATTATTACATGCAGGAATAATTAAAAGGAGAGCAGGGATTTCCCCCCCAAACCTTTATTATCTTTTTCTTTTATGCATATTACTCCCTATTCCAGAAATATTGTTGGGTAGACGGTTGCAGACAAAAAAACATCCAGCCTTGTAACTTTCTTTAAATGAGAATCCTCGATTTTCAGGAAGTTCAAAATTGAATTCTTTCTAAACTGAACTATTCTGTAATTCCTGTGAAATGACTTTTTTAGAAAAATGTATTCCGGGTTGTATAAATTAGCTTATGGAAGCACATGTGGGTATAAATAATAAGAAAGCATGTTCGTGTGTTACAGAATTATTAAAGTTCAGTGAAGTGTGTATTTCTGGCTTTCTGGCACAATTCTGGTCCCTGCTTACCTCTCCCAGCTTTATCATTTTTTACTCTTCCCAGTACCTCAGCCACCTGACCTTTCTGTTCTTTGAACACACCCATCTTCACACCTGACACCTGGCTCAGTGTCTTTCGAAGTTGCTCATCTTGCTTGGAATACTCTGCCCCCACATCTTTGCATGATTACCTTCTTGATGTGTTTGATTTTCCATGTTTCTTCCCAAGAGATTAGTGTGTTATTTTCTAACCCCTTATTCTTTGTACCATTTATCATTCCTTTCTGTTATTTTAAAATATATTTGGTTTACTTATGTATATCTCCTACCCTAAAATGTAAGTTCTTCAAATTTACATTAATATCCCTTGTGTGCGGAACAGTATACAGGACTCAGTTAAGAACTCAATGCGTTGTATTCATTGAGATTTGTAAGATTATTTATTGGTTGGCTGACTGAATTCAAAGGCTGCATTAAATAAAAGTTTTAAAAAAACCTCCATTTGTTAAATAAGCTTTTCAAATATATTAATGATTTAGTTATTAATGAAATTGCCTATGCTTAAGAAAATTCAGTTTCTTTTTCTCACCAAAACTATGATTCTGAATTATGCAATCATTGAATATTTAAATTTAAGTTCTAGGCCACTTGATTACGTAGGTAGATGTATTCTCAGAATACTGTGGACTTCTGACTTCTTAATGACTTGCAAGTTATAAATTGCAAACCTATTAGTTTTAAACTTTGGCTTAATTTTTTTTAAACAACATTGTATCATATTTATCATAAGAGCTTCTTAGGTAAAATTCCATTATAAGGAATGTTAAGGGAATGTTTAATTGCTTTGAGTATAATGGATTTTTAAAACAAAGGTTTATTTAGATGTAATTCACATGGTAAAATGAATTTTTATCATATAAAATATTGCTAAAAGAAATGGATGATTAATGTCAGGTGTGCAGGGTTGTTAGGTTATTTTTGGTATTAGGATTTAACTTGCATAAACTTATGGAGAAAGAACTAAAAATTATTCTTTACGAAGTAACTTTTAATTGATTTAATCAGTAAATATTTATTATGTGATATAAAGTACAGGTAAAGTATGAGTCAGAACTATACATCAAAACTTACTGACAGAAAATCAAATTGTTTTACCTTCTTCGTACACAAAAATAAATTCTAAATCGAGTAAAGAATTAAATGTAGAAAATGAATATTTTCTATTGCTTTGTAATTTATTTAGTTTAGTAAATTTGTACATTTAAAATCACATTTACACATAGTTCCATACCCTGCTTTAAAAAAGGAACTGAACATTGAATCATGGATGATTTTAACTATAAGAATATATAAGAAGTATGTTTAAAATTTCTGGACAGAGAGGTCTTTCTAAATCAAAGGATTGGAAGGACTTATAAAAGATAGATTTAATTCTATTAACACATACAAAAATCCCCCAAAGCTCAGATGCTAGATAATATAAATTAAGGTAAAACGGAACCAGGACACTGTTTTACAACCAGGGATTAGTGTTTTTAATCATACTGCTATCTGCCACTCGTTACATAAATGAGAAAAGGCATTAACCCTGCAATTCATAGGATAAAAGTACATTGTTAATAACATTTACGTTTTTCATACCCTAATAATCATATAATAGGATGCTGTGTCTGGAAAAATATATAATTTCCAGTTCTACCAAGGCAGCATTGAAAATAGGCACTGTCATATACACTGTTGGTGGAGTCAAAATTGTTAAAACTGCTGGAAGGCAGTTTATTAATATAAGTAACAAGAGTCTGAAAAAATTTCATACTTTGATTTTATTTTTAAAGAATTATGTTAAAGAAATAGGGATTTACACAAAGATTTCTGTATAATGACTGTCACCTGGGTTTCTCTAATAGTTAAGTGAAAAGAATCTAAAAAGAGTTTAATACTGGAAAACAGTCATAGAGTATATTTAACCTTTTTTTTGAGAAAATTTTGATTGTTTGGAAAATCATCCATGATTTAATGTTTATTTTTTAAAGTAGGGTATGCAACTATGTGTAAATGTGGTTTTAAATGTATAAATTTATTTACTAAATAAACTATAAATATCTGAATTACAAAGCAGTAGAAAATACTCAAAAGGTTAACATCAATCACGTTTGGGAGGTAGGATGAGGTATGAAGTTTCTTTTCTTTGTACTTTTCTATAATTTCAAATAATCTATAATGAACATTATTAATTAAAACAAGGGAATATACTTTTAAAATAATTATTTTTTGGAATGTCTTTGTAAACTCAAGGGAGGACTTGATTAAAGGAAATTAAAGTCTTACATTTTATTTAGGAAGAAGAGCTGAGAAAAGCCATTTTGGTGGTGTTTGCAAATAAGCAGGACATGGAACAGGCCATGACTCCCTCAGAGATGGCAAATTCACTTGGGTTACCTGCCTTGAAGGACCGAAAGTGGCAAATATTCAAAACTTCAGCAACCAAAGGCACTGGCCTTGATGAGGCAATGGAATGGTAAGCACCATATTTCCAGAGCCATCTGTGCATGTGTGTGCATGGGCACAGCTGTGTACACACGTGTCACTTCCCTTTTGTCTTAAGAATGAAATTCAAATTAGTGGCTTATCATATTAAGTTCCTCCAGCCTTATCCCCCACTTCCTTAAGTTGCCTTTGCTTTTGTTTCAACATACCTACCTGATTACAGTTAGATAAGCCAGCTTTCTGCCATTTTTCTTTTTGCTACCTCACTACACCCTCCAATTCCTTACCCTTCAGGACTTTAAGGCTTTCCTCTTTTCCAGTCTTTCCTGACATATCTACATGCCCACTGTCTTACCACAGACATAGATGTTCTTGTCATAGATCAGTGATATAGTAGTTATTACACTGTCTTCTAATTGCTTATTAGATTATCAACTCCTTGACGAATGAATCTAGTTAGTACCTCTGAATTATCCACATTTGGCCTGGCTGTAGAGTAGCAGCCTGGAAAGTAGTTTTATTATTATTCATTCAAAGCGTAGACAAAATAAAAGCTAAAAGACCCTCTTTGAAATTGAGTCCATAACCTCATTTTTCTAATATAAACTATCTTAGTCTTCATCATTTAAAGTGCTTTAGAATCCATCTCCAGTATAAAGTTTATAAATGATCATACTCTGTACCTGAAAGTTTGAAGTTAAATTTATGAAACCATTCATTTTCTCTTCACAGGTTAGTTGAAGCATTAAAGAGCAGACAGTAATTCAGTCACTTCTCCTCTGAAATGAAGACCACGCCACATGTCCCTTTGGAAACAGTTAAGTGTGCTTCACACTGCTACATGTTAGAGCTGTGTATGACTGTTGGCATATACTGAACTGACTACAACTTTTGTAATAAATATAAAAAATAAGTATTTCGTTGGAAGGGTAACTCATCGTGATTGAACCAACTGACTGGTCTGTGTAATGTAAAATATTCCTTGCTTTCTTGTATTAAGGTATATATTCTATTTGTGTGGAATTCTTATTCAAATATAGTCCTATTAAAGAATGCACTCTTATTGAGGGAAAAAAAAGCCCTATTTTTGAATGAGTGGTTGCAGATTGTATAAACACTAAAATATATCTTAGCTCAGATTTCTTTCCTCTAAAATGAATTAAGTTTTCCCAAAAATTAGACTCAACAGAGTAGTCTAGGAGCATAGCGTGGGTAATATAGTTTTCATTTGCTTAGTGACCACATTATTTAAGCTGTTTCATTTAAAGGCTTTTCGTTATAGGCATGAAGTTGAAATAATTATTTTGGTGGTTAACTTCACTGACGTATCTGTAATTGTCATTTTATAGTTGTTGAGAACATTTTATGTATAATGAACTAGTCAGTTTGTACAAGAATCCTGTGATGTGGGTAGGACAGGTTGTAACGTAATGTCTTCATTTTATGGATGTGTGGAGTCTTGGCTTGATAGGTTGGCTTGCCCAGCTGCTAGTAAGCTAGGAACAGGGCTCAAAATGAGACTCTAGGGTCAGAAGCTTGTCCCATGAACTATATCATAAATTCCTGAAAATGCCAACTTGGCAACACAGGTGACATAACTCCCTAAATAAAACTATGCTAACTGAAGTGGACTCTGTACAAAATAATGCCTGTAAATTTATTTGTCATACTAGTAAGGGTAGTAAAAACAATCCTAAATGGTTATATTTGATGAATTCACAACACATTAAAGAAAACATTCACATTGAGGAAATAAAGAGCTATTTTAAGAAGCATTGTAAAAGATGTCTTTACTCATTTTATCTACTTGGAATTGGATGTATAAATTTGGTGAAGTCAAAATCTTATTGGTTCTGTAGGGAAAAATTAAGCATTCTTGGTTTTAGAAATTAGGTTTACTGCTAGACTATCAAAAACAAATTATATTCAAAGGAACTTTTCTACCACAGAATTGGTTACAGTGTGACAGAAGTAAGTACAGTCCTCAGTGATTACTAAAATTGGGGAGAATTGTTTCATTGTTTAAGTTGGATAATCAGCATTAGATGCTAAAATATTAGATGCTGGTAAAGTGAGCTTAATACCATTGTGCCCCTCATGTGTCAGAAACAACTAGGGGTTCATTTCCTGTCCCTGACACTGTCCTACCAGATGTTGGCCTCTGGCCTCTTTCCCTTACACTTTCATCATTTTCTCAGCTCGCGAATGTGACTTTCTCCTTTGGCCTGTGGGATTTTCAGTCTTTACTTAATCCCTAGCACCCATTCCTAATTTGGTCTCAGTGTCAAGGTCACTGTGAGAACAGAAGTATGGGGAAGTGAGGCCCTGATGGGCAGATGCTGTCCAGCACATGGCCCTCACTGTCTTGAATTCTGAGGAGGGTCCATGAAGCTGTAGCCACGGTCAGCACTTGGATGATCCTGATCCCTCAGGTTTGTCAAATAATGAGATGGGGTAAAAGAGCGTACACTTACTTTAACCTGTATGAATTACCATACCACATTAAAGGGCCTCATCCAGCAGGAAACTGTATAGGTATGTATAGGAGTTTGAATGTTGATAAAAATCTAAAAAAACACCAACCCAAGTTCTGGGTAGAATTGGCCACTCCTTCAGGGTTTTTTCCTCTATAAATAAACAAGAGACTTGGACAAATAATATCAAAGGTTTGTTTTAGCTTTAATATTCTGTTTTATAACTGGTTAATAGGTGTGCTATGACATGATTACACTGAAAATTAAGAAATTGAGAATGGTGGAATTCTGTTAGCAGAATACTTGAGATGCACTTTAAATTGTGGAAACATAAGCTCCTGAGGGCAGGAACCTTTACTTACTGTTAGTATCCCTTGCATCTAGTGCACATAGTAGGCACTCAATAAATACTAATTAAAACAAAGCTGTGCTCAATATCCCTGAGATATTTGTTCTTTCTTATTTTTGCCTTAGTGTTAACTTTTACTTTTTAAAATTTTTATAAAAGCAACATATGCACTTTAAATCACTTAGAAGTAATGGAAATTGGCCTTCCAAGATGTCCCACATTTATCGTTTGGCACATTACAAACTCCTTGGAAGTGTGAGAACTCCTGATTGAGAAACCAACTACCTCGAAACACAGATGCTGAAGTTATGAATGTTTGAACATTTGATTCCTATGCCATATGCTGTAATATTCTAACCCCATAATTATGAATTGTAAAGAGCATGGGCTTTCTTTCAATCCTGGGTTTGAATCTTGATTGTGCTACCTACAACCTACGTCACCCTTAGGTAAATTATTTAATCTGAGTCTCAGTTTCCTCATCTGTAAATGACCAATTTTAGGAAGCTCTCAGGAATACTATGAGGATTAAACAAAATGTATGCAAAGTGCCTGGCACATAGGATGACCTTCCTCCCCACTCCCTTCCCATGATACTGGGCCCTAAAGAATATTGCTTCCACATTAAGTGTAGTGAGGCAAAGACACCATAGGTTGAACAAGATAATGCCTAATTGTTTTCCAAAGTGGTTTANATGATACTGGGCCCTAAAGAATATTGCTTCCACATTAAGTGTAGTGAGGCAAAGACACCATAGGTTGAACAAGATAATGCCTAATTGTTTTCCAAAGTTCCCTCTGCTCTACTATGCTCTCCAACATTGGTATTGTCAGTTTTATCAATGTGAAGGTTTCAAAGTAGAATGTGCATTTTCCTTATTAATGAGGCTGCATACAGGAGTGAGTAAAAATATTTAACAACTCGACAGAGCTGATGCAGGAGGACCACCTACTAGTCTAGGTATTAATCCTTTAATTTCTGGCGTGGGGGATATGGAGTCTAGGGACTCGAGTCACCAAGGTGGCACCTGGGGGGTCTCAAGGTAGTGAATGTTTACCAACCAGTATATAAGTACTTTAGTATTTAAGTATGTAACATTGGCTAAATGTTACTGTTTGAGGACCATTTATATTTCTTCTGTGCAACGCCACTTTTTTACTGGATTATCTTTGTTGCTTCCTAGGGATTCATTGTAACCCTTCATCAGCACATACCACATCCCAGTTGTCTTTTCCTAAGTAGAAGTTCTTAATTTGAATGAAGCAGAATTTGCCACGTGTTCCTGCTATAGATAGCACTCGGTCTCACTTTTGGTATCTCACAGGAAAAGCCCCTCTCCTTGTTCTCTTAGAGCATCATGGCTATTCTCAGCTTATCTTCTGTATAAAGTTTAGAATCAGCTTGTTAGTAATCAGCTTGAAGAACTCTGGGGATTTTGCTCAGATACGCCTTTAACCAATGGGATCCAGTTTGCGGAGAGCTGGCATCTTATGATACTGAATCTTCCTATCCATGAACATGGTTATATTTCTCAGTGCAGATTTTTCTTAAATGTCTTTTGATGATGTATTACAATTTCCTACAGGCGGGTATTACAAATCACTTGTCTGATTTATTCCTAACTTCTACATTGTGTATTGCTTTTTAAAAGTGTATCTTAAAATTTCTTTCAACTCTATTGCTAGTATCACGTACTTTTTTTAGACAGTGAAGATACAGTAGTATTATAAAATGTTTTAATTTAAAAAATATGAGCATAATTATATTAAACTGTATAATATACAACCTCTGCCGAAGTTTAGCTTAAATAATAAAACCTGCTGCGATTTCTGACTAGCAGATACACTGCAAAGTTCCTGAGATGCTGTCAGCACAGGGAGCACTTTACTCCACCATCGCTAAATCTTTCAGGCTGTGGCTCTTGCGTCTCTTGGCCTTATAGCCGGGACGCAGGAACTCTATCTTTCTTTTCTTTGCTTCACTCTTGTTTTTGTGTTTCTTCAGCTTCTTCTTGGCGGCAATATCAGGATTAGTTACAAACTTGAAAAAAGAACAGAAATTTTCTATTATTTTTAAAGTAAATGTTAAACTAATAAAAATCAAATGCACGTATGGACCATTTTATTCACCTTCAGGCATCATAAATGTTCACACACCCATTAAAGAAAAGCTGGAGCCCCAGCTATAAAGTCCGCACTTCTCAAACACAGCCAGACCTTTCCTCCCTGGGCCAGTGTGACACACGCATGCACTGCCCTGGTTAAAAATAGTTACTGAGCCTAACAAACATGCCGGTTGTATTTTCAAACAGCGAACTTACCTCCAAAGCCTTCCTCTTTTTCCTGAGGTTCCTTTTCTCATGAGCCTGTTTCTGTACAGAGGCAAAGGCTAATGAGAAGCTCTCCAGCCCAACCAGCTTTTTGAGTAATTCTATGATTTCCTGGGATAGATTCTTCAGCAAAGGATCTGTTCAGAGACAGTTTCGTGGAAAAGGGTACATCTGAGTGTATACAAAGTCGACAACATGCGAAACAAACTCCTGCGGCATTATCACGTTTATTACTTCAGCATCAAACACTAACCTGAAACGAGCCCCTACATTTATGAGATGAGAAAACCAGCAGAAGTGCTGGACGCAGCTCCCTGCCACCACCTTCCTCATCCAGGGTTCAACAATGGATCAGAGACCACGAAGCCACTTCCTAGCAGAATCCTGGCTCCGAAGACATTAATCTGAGAGCCAGCCAGCAATGTTTGGGTTGCCTTTACTACCCCGCTCAGCTCTGCAGATGGGGGAAGGTAAGTGTTTCTCCAGGCCACTTACTCAACCACAGGCCACGGAGGCTTACCTCTGCCATAACCTTTGTGTGTGTGTGGATTCAGGACTCCTTTGTGAAGCTGATGGAAAGCTATGCTCTCCTTCCCTCCACCTCTCCCCCAAATGCAAATCACCCACAGGTTCTTGCATCGATTTCAGGAGTGTTCAGTACACCTGTTCACGTTTCTTGAAAATAGGAACTAGGCCTTTTCTCCACTGTTGAACCCCCAGTGCCTGTCACATAGTAGGTGCTCAGTGAATGTTGGCTGATGAGAACCAAGGCAGACCCAACCTTCACCACTGCTTTTCCTCTCAGAGGAAGGAAACTCTCTCAAGGTTGTAGGACCACACAGTCCTGCTTTGACATCTACTTCATTTGTTTTATTTTAAAACTCTTAACATCCACTTTACTTTCTCTCTTTCCAATACCCAATTCCCTCTTTTTCTATAATCAAAATAGACATTTTAGGATCAGTGAGGCTGATAGGAAAAAGTGAAATATTTAAACTAAATACCATTTCATACTTTTGCCTTATACTTCTTGAGAATATAATGACACTTCAGTGTTCATTATTGTTCACAGCACGATGAGGTTTAGAACCACCCCAAATTATAGTTTTTGAATAGTTATGCCTAGGAGTAAAATATCTTTTAGGAAACGTTCACTCTTAGACACGAGAAGGCACTTGGAAGATAGTCAAATATAATACAAACATGCCTATTTGTTTGCTATTAACTGTCTTGATACCTAGCAAGTTTTCTTTCTTAAACTCTGGCAGGGAGGGAGGGCAGAAGGAAGAAGGAAGCATTCAGGGGTGAGGCCGCAGTTACCCTGGTCCGAGTAGGTGCTGTTCAGTTCTCGGAACAAAGGAGCTATGATCTCTGGGAGGTACGGCTTCACCTTGTCTACTCCAAGATCCATTGCCACAGCTCCGAGAAACTTATAGATGCATGTTCTCTGAAAGTACACAGCTCTCATTAGTAGTGTTTCTCTTATACTTGCAGCCATACAAATAATTTAGAAAACAAGGTCCATTTTGGGGCAAATATTATTGCTTCAGTTTTGGGTACAGAAGTTCCTAGGGACTTGGGAGGATCACTACCATCACTAAAATACTTAAAACAAAAACCCCTTTCAGCCACTCTGCACACGTGTCGCACCTTTAAGGGGTTCCTAGGCGAGTAAGCAGCTTCCAGTTTCGCGATCCGAGACACCTTCTGGATCAACCACAGCAGCGTGGCTGGCGCGCCGCGCTCGTCCTTCCCCTCTTCCCTCTCCCCGTCCGCGGGGGCCCCGCGTTCCACTTCCTCTCGGGCCACACCACCTCCTGTGGCTTCTCGTCCTTCCGTGCCTTCTTTTACCTCACCTTGCTTGTCCCCAGAATCAGATTCCAGTAAATATAAGACTTTGGCTACGAACAACAAATTCTTAACAACCTAAAAAAAAAAAAGCGTCGGCATGCCAGCTGAGATCACTCTTCAGCTACAGCATTCACCTGGTTTCTGGCGCCCCTTCCCTTAACAGATGCTCCATCTGGTCCACAATGACTCACGAGATGTGGTCAGTACCTTGCTCATAGCCATAGGCCACATTTGTGTCCCCTCACCACCTACCAGCCCAACTGCTCTGTCAAAAGAGCAGAAAATAAAAGGCAGCAGCAGACCAACTATTCAAAAGCAATTTACATTTACTGCATATTTATAAATGCCTTCTCTATATTTAATTTTACATAGCATTAAATTTTATATGAAAACACATAAAGATTTTTAGTGACAGAATTATTTATCTGTATTCTCTTAAGATGATCCTTGGACCACATGGTAGCATGAACATTATTTGCTTTCTCTTCAGATTCTAAGAAAAGGAATTCAATATTGTAATTTAATATAAAAACAATCAGTGCCCTTCAAAGCTTCAGTCACAATGTGGAACAGGTAAGACTAAAGATGAAGAGATTTAATGAATAGCCTCCCACTGCACCGTCTTTATGGGGAATTTTATGCAGCCAAGAGTAATCCCAAACGGACTCCAGTCAATTAGATATATGTGCATAACTAAAAATGTACTTGAGTATATGTTTGTATTTCATTTAATTTCCCAAGCATTAAGCTAGAAAAGACAAAGCAAAAAATACCAAATGTGAGCCTATTCCTAGAATGCTGGTAGAATAGGTCCCTTCTATTTAACTGGATAGGATTACGATACTTACCTGCTCTCCTTGAGACTGATCCAAGAATTTGGAATGCAACTGATGGCAAGAGGCTAGGGAGATACTTTTCATCTGTGAAAAGAAAATGGACATTGGCAGACACAATGCAAGGTATTTTTGAGTTCTGAGTAACCACAATAATACGTGAGATACTAGACTTTACTCTGGCCACTTGTGTAGATCTGGAGAGGGAAGGTTCAAGACCAAAAACTGTGAACGGTTCCCTTTTACCTGCCACAAGCATTTAAGCGAAAGGAAATGGGATACTTTCAAGCTCTGGGGAAACAGAGATCATGACCCGAGATTATTAGACGAGAGCTTTGCAACATTCCAGTACTGTTTTTCTTCCCTTCCACCCTCCTCAGTCATCAGTACTTACAGAGTTCCCACTGTGAGGCAGGCATTGTGCTAGGCCCTAGGAAATCATGGTCCCTACCTAACATCTTCGTGAACAGGACCTCATTTAGTTATCAATGAGGTTATGAAGGAGGCAGATGTATTAATCATATTTTCCAGTGTTGATAAATATCATAAGATGAATATATGCTAAATATGCTAAATAAGCAAAGCAAATGTCTGACTAGGCTGAGTCTAAAAATTATCTTGGAAAAACCTTGGCCTTGAGGGTGACCAGTCTCTGGTTCCTATCTTTCCTGTAGATTCACATATGCAACAAGTTGTTGGCTGGAAGAATTTCTCCCAAGGGTCAACCCCAGGACAGTTACATGAACCAGAAGGAACATCTCACACGGATCACGAGGGAAGAAAGGGGTTTAAGAGAAGCCTTACTTTTTGGTCAAGGTCACATATTAGGAACCTGACTGCTACAGGTTCTGAGAGTTTCCTTTTAGTTTTTTTGGCATTCCGTTTTCTGATAAGCTCCTCAGGTTGGCAAGAGGCAAACAGCAATCCAAAAATCTGGGCTGCAGTGAGCCACACCCAGTTGTGGGGATGTCTCAGGTGAGCGTGCACGTGGCCTAAGGGAACCAAAACACATTGTCAGGAGTCTCACAGCTTTCCAGACTCTGGTGGTAAATAGGACTAACTTAGGCATTTCTTGAGTACCTATTATGTGCTTGGATTTGGGAACTGAACATGGACAGCGCAGTCCCTGCCTCCCAGATGCTCTCAAGTAGCAAGGGAGCAATGAGTTAAGAGACACTGGAAACAACTAGCAAACCAACTCCTAACACGGTCAGAGAGACGAGGGAGGCAAGCCTACAACCAGTCCACAGGAACGTTTCAGACTCAAGGGAGGTAAGATGGCATTAACATTCACAATTTCTAAATCTGAATTAATGTGTGTATGTACATACACATACATATAAACATTTGTATATATACATACAAACATTTGTTTCTCAGAACTACTGAAATTGCTGGCTCTAAGTAACTGACTGGAAAGGTACATTTATCGCTGCTTCCTCTGTGCCAGGCACAGGGCTTTTAGACATCACAACAGTTGTGGGAGGCTGGAACTGTCATTTCCATTTCCATTACAGATGAGGGGCTCAGTGATATGTCCAGCTGTGACAGGCAGAGCCAAGCCGGGTTCCAGCTCCACCTGGCCCCAAAGCTCATACTCTTAAATATGACCCCTTGAAGGTCATACTCGTAAGCTACACGGCCACTCTCCATATATCGCACCTGGAAAATACAGTGGCACGCTTTGTGGCGTTGGGAAATAGGATGAGAATTCCGGACCAATCATGGCGTATCTGAGCTTTAGTCTCTTGCTGTATTTCGTGAACATGGTTTTATTTTGGTTCCACAGGAACCTTTGTAACAACCTGGTCAGGTCTCAGGGGAGCCATATCAGAGTAGGCCATATAGTAATTTAGTAACTATTATTTCTCATAGGATCATGAGTTCTCTTAAAATAGATGGGTACTTAAAGCATTCATTCCAATGTCTATTTCCTACTGACTAAAAACTGGATATATTAAATTAAAAATTCTGGGTTATTTTCATTTAAAGAGTGATACGTAACAAATATCTCACAGAAATGAAATGGTTTAGTAAATTATGGCATATTTACATGATGGACTACTTATAGCAATTTAAAGGGCCAGCTACCAGTACAGACAGGGTATCAAAGTTTATATGGAATTATGCAACCGCAAAGGAGAACAAAAACAAAAAAACAAAAAAAGACTGAAGGGAAATATATACCAAATTATTATCAAGTAGCAAGGAGGACTCTGGAGAGTTTTTTCCATTCTTATATTCCCCCATAATTAACACTTTCTTTTATAAATAAAATGTATTACTTACAAAGTCATAAATATGTTTTTATATATTTTTATATATATATATATATGTAAATAAAATACCCCCCCAATGAAAGAAACATTTTCACTGTAATCAATATGAAAGGGCCCTTTAAATCTTCTTCTAGTGGACTTTTCCCAACATTATATACTTTCTGAAATATCCATATTCTAATTTCCTAAATCTGTTTTCAATAATTCTATCACAACCAATGTGTTTATTTTTTGATTTAAATAAAAAGACAATACTTACTCCAGATTTTACTCAAAGTCTGAGAGGGCTTGGTAAACTGAATGATGTTACATTCCTTGATGAGTTTACTTATCAGTGTAAGAAAACTAAACAGAAGGCGATCTGCAGCTTTTTCTTCAGTCTCTTCCACGATCTAAGCACAGGATAGATGCAAATCAATTACGACAACATTTCCAAAGCATCTGATGGACATTTTAATGCCACCATATAAATCTACATCAGCATTTCTCCACCTCAACACTACTGACACCTGGACTGGGTAATACTTTGCTGTGGGAGGCCGGCCTGTGTACTACAGGATGTTTAGCAGCATCCCTGGCTTCTGCCCATTAGATGCCAGCAGGACACTGCTAAATGTTCCCTGGGGGACAAAATCACTCTCTTGAGAACCTTTGACTGTCATACACTATGAGAAGAAAACTTACTTTAACCTGCATTTAATAAAGAAGATCCAACTGCACTGAATTCTTGCTTTTATTAATAAAAAAAGCATTTTTGAATATGTTATTTAATCTATTAGCTATACCACCTGAAGCAAAGCTATAAAAATTACCAAAACTCATATTCCCTAGCAAATACTTACATCGTCAAAGTTTTCAGGGTCAATTTCCTTTTCAATCACAGGGAGAACAGTTCCAAGTCTTCTTTCAAAAGTGATGCCTTCACTTTCCGCAAACAAGCCACAGACCAGGGCAGCTAGCTGTTTACTTAAGTTCTATCAAAAACAAACCACCACGAGACAATGTGAACACAACTTGGGAGGCTGTTTCCACAACTACAACATGAAGGTGGGCATGATTCTGTTCTCAACAGTTCTTTATGAAATCAGAAATCCATGGAGAATGGATCACTGGCGACTGACAAGAAGAATGGGGAGAAATCTTCATATCAAGAATAACATTTTTATAAAATGATATTCATCATTAGCCACTGAATAATACATTTTCTCATTTTAAATTTTAAAAAAATCAAAAGAGGTTTCATACCATCCTGCCCCATCCCCATTCTGACTTTAATACTTAAACCAGTATTAAGATAGGATACGTGTATTGTTCATATTCTACAAAAGATGGGCCAGTGGGGATAGTGGTAGAGTCAGCAAGTGGACACAATCACTGACAAAAACTACGTTCCATCAACTGAATAGGCAAGACTGGAAACAAGTACTCATCACTGGGGGCTGGTCAAGTAAACTATGACACACACATGCAGTGGAGTAACTGGCTGACATTAACCATACAGTGGGAATGCAGGTGATTTTTATGTTGCTTCTATAACTTGTTACATTTTCTGAAGTTTTACCATAAGAATGTATTATTAACATAATTAAATAAAAATAATAAAGCTATTTGGGAAAAACTAATTCAACAATGTATATGCATTATTCTTTAAAGTATGAACACCAAAGGCCAAGACTTTCCATTGAAATATGACTAAAAGCAACCCTAACCTTCTTTGCTCCAAACCAGGTGGTAACCATATCGAAAAGCCAATCTTTTTTCTCAAGGTTGACTTTGCTGAGTAAGGATTTGATGGTCATGGATGCCATCTTTTTACACAGGGCCGAGTCGTCATTCACCATCATGAGACAGAGAGGAATAAAGAACATCCCACAGTTTTCGTGGAGCAGTCCCTGGAAGAGAGCGGCACTGATGAGCACTCACACTGGAACCTCAGACGCTCCAACAGGGGAGGACCATGGGCTCCCAAGCGCCGAGGGCGACAGACACAGCTGCCAGTTTGTCTTCGTGACATACTGTACCTGAGGGAACGTGTCAAAGAGATAAGCAATCATTTCCAAGGTGGACTCTCTTCCGGTCTCATGTTCATAACTAGGGCAAGGACATCAGAAGGACTTGTTAGTATCTTTTAAATTTACCAACAATTATTTTTAAGAAAACACTGTCTCAAGATGCCAGTCTAGTTCTTAAAAAGTGGAAAAAACTGCACATTCCCCATTTTAATGCTTGTGTGTATCATGCTGCTGTGCGGTTTCACATGAAACTTTGGTAGATCTTTACCATCCTCCTCAGTGGACTCTAATGACAATCAGCGGTCAGAATGAAGTGAAAGCGACTCAGAACCGCTCTATGGAGCCTGCACGACGTCTACTAGGTATGCCAGTGACTCACAGATCATCCTCAGAGAATGTGCCGTTATGCTGAGGTTTGTTTTTCAAGTTGGCCGCCATATTTAACGAGAGAAGAAACTACCCCACCGCCTCTGTGTAGCTTATGGCTTACACTTACTTCAGCTGAGCGAGCATGAATTCCAAGTTTGGCCTCAATTTATCACCCAGGGGATAGTCAAGAATATATTTCAGAAAAACCTAGGAACAAAAGTCACACAGATTATTGGGATCCTATTGCTCCAGCACTCCCGTTTCCTACGCTGCTTTCCGGGACAAGTTGGTAGGTTAAAAAGACCTTTCTGAAGAGTGGTCGGTTAGGTGAAGCCGGCCTCCTGAGCTGACAACTGTGCCCCTTCCTCTCTCCCACTTCACTTATCCAGGTCCTGCCCTCCACACCCGATCAAGAGTCAAGTCCTGGCCCACCCCTGGCTTGGCTCTTTAGGGCTCCAAATCTAAGCTCCCACGTTGGAAACTTGTCTCTCTCTGATAGGTGGTGTGGTGGACTGAATATGGATTGTGGTTCAACCCCATATTTCCCCTTGAGTAATAGTAACAATAATGGTGATAATAATATTAATACTGATAATAACTACTGCATTTACTAAATACCTTCTATGTGCCTAACACTGGGTTGTTTCTCGGTTAATTTCCATTACTCCCACAGGAAGGAGGTGACGTTGCCCCATTTTACAGAGGAAGAGAATGAGTTTGGCAGAAGTAAATAACTTGCTCAGGTGGCCATGCCTAGTCTATCTGCATCCCAAGGCTCTGCTTTGAAACTATAGGCTATCCTACCTCTTTTACTAATAATCTGTGAGAACCAGGCTCATCATTAAACTTTCCAGGCCTGTTTTCCCCCAGCCATGAAACAGGGGCACCAGTTCTTTTGAAGGACAGTTACAAACAGAAGTCGTGTGTGTGAAGTGCTGGGCACACAGCTAGTGTCTATTAAACAGCAGCCGGCTCTCCTTGCTAACAGTAGTTACGGAAACTTTTTCTCAAGTCAAGCTGTTTCCTTTCCTCCCGGGCCTCCTTAGCAGCCCAAACCCTCTTTTAACTCGGAGTTCATATTTCCAATTCGGACCCTTCCACCTCCTGGGTTGACAGGCGCTCCCATGATTAGGACAAATGTAGAACACAAATCTGCTCATATCGCTCCCGTCTACTGATTTCAATAGTTTTTGTTATTCTCGGAACTAAGTCCTAAATCTTTAACGAGACCACGAAGTCCCGTCTGACCTGGCTGCCTTCCCCTCCCTTAGCGCCTCCAGCCAGCGAGGCTCTTGCCCACCGCCAGCTTCCCCTCCTCGGGCGCCCGCACCCGCTCCCCCTGGGGGGAAGCCTTCCTCCTCCTCGCTCCTGCCCACCCGCCAGTGCTCAGGAGGCCTGCCTCTGGCTAGGGCAGCTTTCCACCTGACCAAACGCTCTTCCATGATCTTCCACATTTCACTCATTCTAAGCAGCACGCTTTCTCACATTTTAACATAGCTGAAATTGGGATGTGTCTTACAATCGATGGCATCTTGCCCTTGTGTCACAGTTTGTTTTGAGACATATAAATAATGGTGTGTCCTGTGATGAAATATGGCAATGCCTTTTTCCTCCTGACACTTATGACGTATGTAATTAAATAACTATTCATTAAATTTCTGTTTTGTGCCTATTAGCACCTGACACACAGGGACATGCGTTAAGTACTCGAGGGCTAGACCACCTCATGGAAATCCTCACCACAGGCTATCACGCTGCGGAAGGAAAAGGTACATGCCACACATGGTGGGCTGTACTCAAAATGCTCCTCGTAACTGAAAAATGCCCTACGACAAAGCTGAGGCCCCTCTCACACTTGGCATATAATGGGTTCCCGAGTCACAGAATAATAAAGCATCAATATGACACAAAGTCATCTTCGGGATTCAGTCAATGTTGACAGCTCTGTCTCTAAACCAAACGGAGAAGGCAGGGCCTGACCCTTACTATGGGAGTAAATTCTCTACAAACCTGTCTGCACTGGACTCGGACAGGTTCGCTTTGTGCAGAAACGGCCAACTTGGATACTTTCCGCATGACATCATCGATTTCTGGGACCAGCAGCTTTCTTGATAAAATGGCCTAAAATACAGAAAGAAAAGTCATACTCTTCATGTTTCACTGCAGATGGGAATAAGCCGACCTAATGTTAAAGAAGCCATAGGCAGTTTTCAAACACAATGAAAGTACCTCCAAAAGTAAAAAAATGTACACTTAAAAAACATTAAAACAGAGCTCATAAACATTTTAATAACCACCCAAATCATCACTTTTATAAATTACTTAATTTTGAAAGTCTGCTGCTAGTCAAAAGACTGTGTTCCCTGTTATTTTCAATATCTGACATGAGGCTCATACACCGTAAAGTTCAACATTCTGGTGACACTGTACCTTCAGGAGACCAAACGCAGTGGCTTGCCTTGATGTATCATAAATGTCCTCTTCAGCATATGCCAGCAGAACCTGGAGCTGCTTTTCTGTTATCTGGTAAGACTTCACTTTCTTCACAAGTATCGTCACACACTGCAAGTTACAACAGTGAGGTTAACAGCCAGGGCGTCCCACAAATCAGGATCCAGTGAAATCATGAGGACTTAATACAACATCAGTGCTTTTCACACAGGAAACCAACCCTCTGGCCCTCGCAAATTAACCTGGAAAACATTTTGATCAAGATCCCAAAGGCCGACGTGGAAAACTAACTCTGATGTTGCTCCTGGGCCTGACCTTTCTAAGTGGAAGTGGAAACACCTCACCTTGAAACAGTTCACCACCAGGTGGAAGTTCTGACCCCTGGCAGCCCCGAGTTTTGCATAGTCCTTCAGCAAGAGGAAAAGGTATTTCGTCAGCTGCTCCGCTTTCGTTTCTATGGAAGGCAGAGGGAACCGCAAGACCCAGATCAGGCACTGCAAAGCACCCGTGATCACCTGCAACCAAACCAAAGCAAAGTAGTCAATGCGTGGGGCAACTACACTGAGTCACCCGGCGCCCAAGGCGGTGCGCTCCCTACACAGTCGTGCTGAAGGGGTGATATGCCTGCCCAGCCCACTCTGGAAGTGCAGGAAGACAGGGAAGTGTCCTATTCGCTACTGTAGAACTTACTGCTGCTCTAGGGCCAGTGAGGATGACCCGCAAGCTCACCTGCTGTATTCTTAACTTATATGGTAAACAAGTGCATACATATTATAAATGACCCTTCTATTTCCTAAGATGGTACTTCAATTTCATCATTCTTACTCAGCTTGTATTATGCATACAAGACAATCTAATAAGTATTAGAAATACAAAGAGAAAAAGGATGCCATCCCCTTTATGGAGCAGATAGCTGGCTCAGAAATGAAGCATGGGAAACAATAAACTACAATTTAATACAGTTAACTCCTGTGCAAAAGGTATTAAAAAACTCTGTGCAGGGGCGACTGATTTACAGGAGAATCCCTGAATCTCCAGGCCAAGCCTTCAAGATCGCCTAGGTCGGCTCGTTCACCTAGCTCAGCTCTACCTAACACACTGCCACTGCCCTGGCTGCTGTGACGGCCTTACTGGGTTGGATTAGATGAAGACACAGGAAAAAGCTCCAGTCAGAAGGACTGGGACATAAATCCCAGCTCTGCAGCTTTTACCTATTGGACTACAGATGTTGCTCAACCTCTCAGAACCTTCACCGTAAAACAAACAATCTGAGGAAGTGGGAGGGTGTAGGCTTTGGAGACTGAGGCTCATATCCTCGATCTATGATCTGGGGCAAGTCACTTAGTCTAAGGCCTAGTTTTCTCATTCATAAGCAGAAACAATAATAGTAAATGCCCCACAGATTGTTCTGAGGATTAATAGCAGGGAGTACGGCTAGTGACAATGACAATGAGGGGTTGATGATTACTGACACTGGGACACCACCACTCACCCTCACGAAGTTGCTGAAAGGACCAAATGAAGTAATTAATGTACCTAGAAGGGATTTTAAAACGGTGAAGAGCTATCCAAATATATAAGATTACTAAGCTGGGGAGCAATTTAATGCAGTGATAGAGGTGGTTCAAGGTGTCATAAATCCCTTTAAAAACTCAACTATTTTGTGATGCACAAGCCTAGAAGTTAAGCTCTAGGTATTCTACACAACCCGGCTGTGAAGGAACAGGTAGGTAGGTGCTCACCTTCACATCCATGGAACCTAGGCAGTCTACGAGGAGAGACACAAACGGATCCAACATTTCCAGAACGTGTTCGCTCGAGGACTTGATCTTGGAAGTCTTCAGACTCAGATGCAGCAGCTAAAAGATTTAAAAAGACATTTTACAGCAGGTGCCCATAAGACCAAATGAGTTAAGTAAAGGTGAAATGACTTTAAGAGACAACCTGAAATGTTAAGATGCTTCTATATGATATATAAAAATCTTGAAAAAAACGGGAAACCTGGGAGAGTCTCAGTAAGTGAAGAGGTGGGAGCTCACTGTGCAGCTGAGATTCTAAGTTCATTTACCAAATGGTTACTCAGCATCTACTCTGATCAAGGCACTGGCTTGGCATGCAGGACGTGGTAATGACCAAGATGGACATGGTCCCTACACTGGCGGATCTCAGCCAGTGAGACAGACTCTAGGAAATAATTAATTGTGAATGCAGGGTTCTGTGGGGATCTGGGCAGAGGAGTGGGCAATGAGGTCCTGGGGCAGGAACAGTGTGGAGATGTTAAGAACAGACAGAAAGCCATGTGTGGCTGGAATGTCAATTGGAATGGTACAATATGAGGCAAGGCTCTCTCCTAGAATAAATGGAAGTCAATGAAGAGTTTTTAAAAGGGATGGAAATGATCAGACTTGTGTTTTTAAAAGCTCACCACCTTGTAAAAAAATTCAAAGTAGTTCAGAGCTGCAAACTCATGGGCAAAGCAACAATGAAACCATAAAAAATATTAGGTCAGAATAATTAATTCTGAGAGAATTATATTAGTAAAGTAAGTACTGAAAGAGATAAACATAAATAGTAAACGAACCAATGCACCTTTAAAAAAAACATTCCATAATTTACTTGTGGTAAGGCATTTACAGAAGAAATAGGCAATACTAGATTCAGCAGCACAGTAGAGGCCAGACCCACTGGGGGCAGTGAGTCTCACTTTAGGGCTAATTCTTACCTGAAGCCCAGACTCAATAAATATGTGCATGTTGGTCTTCCTGCTCACAACAGCTTTCTGCCCGCCTCGAACTGGAGTTGGGGGAAGCAGGAGACAGCTCTGGGGTGGCAGACGTGGATCCGGGGCCGGGGCTGCTGGATTTCTGTCAATCACAATGGAGTAAAACATAAATGTTGCATTCCCATAAGCTACTGTGGCCCTGTCTGGGAATGAGAGTTGAGTACTAAATGTGCTGTCTGCTGTGGACAGTTTTTTCCTCCCTTAACCATGAGACACAGAGGACACTCCCTAATTCAGATGAACAGCAAGGGGACACTCCCTTTCTTTGATTTCTGAAAACAAATGCCAAGTAGTCTCTTTTAGAACACAGAAGCAAAATCTAAAGGAAGTTTTCCAATATGGCATTTTTAAATCTTTGAAGATCTAAAACTCTATTCAATCAGAACAAGAGGTATATATTTAAACTCTATCCTAACTTTGATCCAATCAATATCCAAACAAAAATGGTATCTAAGAAATGCCACAAAAACTAGCTGCTTTCACAGCTACTTCATTTATCAGAAAAACATTATTCATCAGAAAAACAATCTCATGTTGAAATGTATCTCTTGAAGGGCCTCAACCCAAACACTATAAAGTAGGGCCATCTTATAAATCACATAAATATTATGCTGTTGTTGTTGTTGTTTTAACTAAAGCAAACTATTAAATTAATCCACTTAAAAGTGAATGGCTTATCAGAAGCAAGCACCTAAATGAGAGTTTTGTTTTGTTTTTTTCAAACTTACTTTTCTTTCTCTGTTAACAGGGGGAGATTTTCACTGACCAAACCATAACTGAGCAACAGAATGGATTCTGCAGTCATTTCCTGATTTACGATGAATCCTGCAATGATTCGGCGTAAGGTCTCATGAACTTTCCGGGCCAGTTTTAAACTCGTGGTATTTTGTAAGATCTGAAGGCAAACACAAATGTCATGCTCAGGTAAACACAGAATTGCATTTGGATTTGTTGTAATGGTAGCTCTTAAATATATATATATATGTATATACACACACATATATATTTGCTTTATATGTTTTTTTCTAATTAAAAAACATTCTTAATAAGATTTCAAACAGATATATCGTCAAATTTACCCATCACCTCAACCCCAGAGAAAACCAGGGTCAGCAGTGTGGGTGCCCCCTGGATATCCTGCACCCCCTCTCTGCTCTGTGGGTTAGGCCAGAAGGCACAGAAGATATGATGTGAGACTTGTAGGATGTTGACCATCCAGGTGCATTAAAGCCATTTCCTTGCACAGGACCACATATTACTAACCTGCATTAGCTTGGAGGGATTTGACGAAAATACATGTGCTCTGTTAAGTCTTTTTCATCCTCAAAGCATATCTAACATTCTCAGATCAGGCTAAATGCATTCTAGGAACAACTATGGAGTTAATCCAGCACTTGAACATTTGGAATTATAGTTAACTCATGCCATTAGATAGGGCTGTTAGCTCTAGTTTTAGTACATAAAACTGGTAAAAAGAATAAGTAATGATTACTGCATATTCTCCCCTGCAGTAGGCACAGAGAACTCCATGGAGGGAGGTAATTAGAGTCCCTGCCCAATAGGAGGAAGAAAGAAACAGCAGAAAAATGAGAGCTTTGGATCAGAAAGATCTGGAATTAAATCTTGAGTTTCCTTCTTACCCCTGTTCCTTTCTACCTTTCTGAGCCTGAATTTCTCTCTCTAAGATGGAAGTACCATTGATCTCACAGGTGGTTGTGCAGATTAGAACAGATAATGAAGCACAATGTTGAGAACATAATATATGTTCAACAAATGCCAGTGTTCTTCCTCTTGGCATTCTGGGAGCAGTGGTCTGACTACAAAGGCTATGTTCTTAGCTGCTGACTGGACCCAGCTGTAAATATTCACCTGGTCTATTCTGTCACCTTTCCTCTTGCATCTCAGGGTTTACATCAGGGACTCTTATTCTTGGATTAGAAGGCTCGGCACAGGGCTGCCAGCTAGTGGCCACATGGTATTGGTGTCCTTACACCGGGGAAATCTCGATCAAGGGCAGCAGGTTTGCCCTGTGAGGCTCTTTTTCAAGATCCCTGTACTGCACTCAAGTCCTCACCTCTTTCAGTGGAAGAATAAGTTTTGTAACCTGATCTTTTCCTACAAACTTGCCCAGGATTTCGTAGGAATCGTAACTCTTGCTTCTTCGGGCCTCCATGACTTTGGAGAGGATCTGCTTCACTTCCTTCTCTTCGGCAATGGCACCGAACAACTCGTGGTTAAAAATCTTTAAAAGAAAAAAGCCGAATGGCAGTTACGTACATTCAACGAGATATGCCAATATAAGCAGTCTTTGAAAAGAGCACTGGCACGTCCAAATCAAGGAAAGCAAGTTTACTTTTTTCAGTGGAGTGTAGAGACCAATTACTAAAAAACAAATACAGAAACACCTGAAGATTTATACTAATGGGAAACGAAAGAAGAATACAGTAAGTTTTCAATGGTGTCGATAGGTCTGCAACCTTAAGCGAAATGAAGCGTAACAAAACCAATTTTACCACAGGCTGATATAAACATTTCATCAGTGTTATAATGAAATGGCATTACGCAAGGACCTACTCTACTACACAGATTTATACATATAACTATAATATACAGACAAGTCTTAGATATCACCAAAAAGTAGCTTAATTTCTTTTAAACAATTCTCATGACATCTGCAACTTAGTTATAAAAATTAATGCATTTAATTCAAAATGTTAGTGCCTGCAGTTTTAAATAATGAACAAAATGTTGTGTGGCAAATTTAATCTCCTCCTAATCCAACCTGCCTCACCCCCAAATGATCAAATTATTCCATTTTGAAAGCTGCTTGCTATTAATTTTTCACTATTATAAATAAAACTCTGGTAAATATACTTTTATATAAACCCCAGACCACATCTCTGATTCTTCTTTTAACACAGAATTTTGGAAGTGGCTGAAATTTTTGCTCAGTGCCAATTTTCTTCCCAGAAAGGTTGTACCAACTATGACCTGTACCAGCAAGGGCAGTGCACCCAGCTCACTGCACTGGAGTCTAAGGCACGAGGCAGAACATTAACTTCATTTTCACAGGCTGTGATTCCCTTCTTATTTTGTAAACTGATTTTTTGGTATCCTTTTCCCACTTAAAAAAAGATTTAGAATTCCTTTCTCTAAACCTTACCTCAATCATTATATCTAAACAAGAGTCCAAATCGCCAACTTGCAGCTTGTAGGTCAGGCCATGCAGCAACATGTTAACAGTGAAAGTCAGCACGTGGACCTAAAATGAAATGCGTAAAAAAGTACGACCAGTTAAGAACACCACACTAGAAAAAACAAGACCTAAGAACTGCTGCAAGGAGAGCACTCAGGGTATATATCTGCCATGACTGCAGGGAGAAGCTCTGACAAATGACACATACTTGTATCGCTATCTAAAATCCTTCAACCAAACGGTCACTTTGTACAAAAGATGCTCAGAAACACATGACCATGCTTAGGATTTTTGCGACTAAACCAGCCCACGGACTTATAAAGGCACAAGAGCCTGGAACTTTACAAACCAACCTGTGAATTAAGGAGCTTGCAAATGTTGAATGAATCAAAGCTGGTACATAAAGTCTTATGAAGGAAGCAAATAAGTGTTTGCTCTCAAGAGTAACCATAGCTAACATTCCTGGGAGCCTACATAAGCGAGGCTCGTATTAATACCCCACATGTGCTGAATCACTCAGTCCTCACCCATTCTATCTAAGATGTAGGTGCTGTTATCGGCACTTTTAGAAGAGAAAGCTGAGGCACAGACAGGTAGAATAACTTGCCCCAGGTCATATGGGTAGGAAGTGGTGGAGTCAGGATCTAAAAGCAGACAGGCTGGCACCAGAGCCCCAGCTCCGCCTCACTACGCTGCGCCGCCTCCCAAGCATTCGGATTCTTTTTACTGTTTCCAGCACTGTTAGATTATCAAAGTAAACATCCGATAATGATCACAGGCCAAGGAAACACACTGAGTTATCAATAAACAGATTGGATTTTAAAGGTATAGTTCCATATGTATCTACTTGAGACAGTTCAGCACTTTTACATATTTACAATGTTTGCTGAGGACTTCACACCATTTAAAAACCCTTTCGGGAGGGTGAAGAACGACACTGGGGGACTGCAATTCTGGTAGCATCTACATGACTAACACTATAAACAGAGCCCCAGTGATGAGTGGGATAAAAACACAAAGTCTAATATTCGTATCATGGGAGTTCCAGGAGAGGAGAGAGTACAGTGCAGAAAAAGCATCAGAAGAAATAATAACTGAAAACTCCCAAATTTGGTTGAGAAGCTCAGCAAACCTCAGAGTAAACAAACAAAAAAATCCACACTGACACATCATAATTAAATTTCTGAAAAATAAATACAAAGTCTTCAAAGCAGCCAGAGAAAAATGATGCATTACTTAGAGGTAAACAATTAATAATGGCATTAGGAAGGCCAGAGCAAAGTGGTATAACTTTTTCAAGTGCTGAAAGAACTGTCAATGCAGAGTTTCATATCCAGTGACAATATTCTTCAGGATGGTGGTGAAATGAAGACACTCACAGATGAGGGAGAATGAAGGCAATCTGCTGCCACCACCTTACTCTACAAGATTCTAAAGCAAGTTCTTCAGACCGAAGGGAAATGATACCAGAAAGAAGCTTGGATATTCAGAAATAAAGGAAGAGCAGTGGAAATGATAAATATCTGGACAAAGTAATAGACTACTCTTCTCGAATTCTTTAAAATGCCTGACGATTAAAAGCAAAAACTTTAACACTACCTGGTAATGTTTCCAATACACCGCAATGTAATACATAAACAGATAAGACAAAAAGAGAAGGGTGTAGGGACCTATATGGTATTTACTTTCCACTTGAAGTGGTAAAATACTGACTCTCGGTGGATCATTAAAAGTGAGTGTGTATATGGTAATCCCTTAGAGCAGCCACTAAGAAACTATACAAAGAGAGATGGTCAAAATCAATACTAATATTTTTAGTGTTAGATTTATAAAGTGTAGAACAGAAACATTACCTATGAACAAATTAGGACACGGAAGGTAAAGTAAACTACCAGGAGTCCTGGTTGGACTTGAAAAGAACAAGCTGCAGAGTTTCTCTAATTTGAGATCACCCAGGGACCTTACTAAAATGCAGCTTTTGTATGTTAGGTGTAGAGCCCTAAATTCTGCATTTCTAGTCAGCTCCCAGGTGCTGCTGATGGCACTTGTCCAGGGTCCACACAGGGGTAGTGAGGAGCAGCCAGCCATGTAACTGCTCAGAGAGGCTCTGTATTCTGCCTGGAGGTTTTATTATTTTTATGACTTATATGTTTCAACTCCTAAACAGATGTCTTTGTTTTCTATTGCTCACATTTGTGGCAATACATTCAATATGCATTCAACAAGAATTTTTTTCAGAACTCAGAGAATGCAGAACTTGATGACAGGTTATGTATCCTTGACTTACAAGGATTTTTACAAAAATCAAATATATAAGCTTTTTAAAATACCGATTAGAAACTTTTGACTATTTTTGACTGCTATCTCAGCGGATCTACTATACTAAAGATAGACCCAAAAAAGCATGACTTACAGTGTTCAAACTGCAAATATGTAAACTCCAACCCAACTTGAAAGAGCACATGACGCAGTTTACCTGATACCCACGGACAAGGGTAGTCTGTAATTCTTTTAAAATATACTGTAGGTAGTGCACACCCAGATCTTCTATTATTTTTGCAAGAGTGCTGCGTGCAATGTCTCTGATTTCTTGTGCTCTATTCTTGAGGAGGGCACATACTTTCAGCAAAATACTAGAAAATGAAAAATTGAAAAATGACTAATCAAACAACAGAAGCAAATAAAAATATAAACATCTTTTTCTATCTTAATTGCCCATAAAACCCAGATTTCCCAATTAGGACTGTAAAGTACAGCAAACTTTTCTTCCCGATAAAAGATTCAGGTTAGGAAGAAAGAGG